TATACTGGTGCTATTATTATAAGCTAGTTAGGGTATTGCAGCAAACATATTCGTCATCCGTTTCAAATACAGTAGTAATTTTGAAGTTTTCTATTATGTTTCTAAAAACAATTGAAAAGTTAAATACTGTCAATAAGATTATTTATATAGGATTTTATATACTAACAATATAGATGAGCCTAAGATTAATACGAATTATAGCTATGTAGATTTGAAAATATCGTTGGTTTTTATAGATAGTATTATTATTAGAAAGAAAAAAGACAAAATAAAAAGATAAAAGATGCAATGAATAGGAATCCAGAGGGTGGCTATCACTAGAACCTCCTCTTTTGCTAAGCGACTGGGCACCCCTGTGCACCCCCTGTTTTTACCTACTTGGTGGCGCCCAGAGGGTTACAGTAGGCTTGCAGGAATCTTTCAGTGCAGTCAAAGTGTCGTTGTTCGTTTAAAAAGGCACCGTCCATGAATGTCCGATCAACAGCTGCGGTTTGCTCCAACAATCGATATCGATTGTGAACGTGCCATGTCATGCCATGTTGTTCTGTTCCATTCGTTAGGTACAGTGCGGTGTCGTCTATGGTAGATGCTGGAGATGCAGGGGGCAGGGCAGGGACAGGTGACTCCGATAAGTGCTTCTACGACAGTATAGCATCGCCAAATAACACACTGTTGGCTTGCCTGATACTACACTACCTACTACACTACCTACTACCTACTGTCTACCTACCGACGGGAATACGTATGCTGCTGGGCTTGCTTCGCTTTTGCTTTTGCTTCTGGTGGCTTTGCTTGTTCCTAGCTGTCCATCTAGTATCCTCGCTCGTCAATCCGTTATCTATCTGTTAGTCAATGCCAGAACTAATTCACAGTGAATACCTACCCCTGGAAGTCTTTCTCTCGCTTCGTCGTCGTCAGCCTGTGTGAACCTGTCTCGATTCTTTTTTGTCAAGCAAGCACCAGCGAGCTATGTACACTTCGAAAGCAGATTCGATAAAAAGCGCGCTAGTTGCTAATATGGAATAGTTGAGGATCTTTTTGCGTGCCAGCCTGCCAGTCGAGCCCAGCACAGTGATATGTTTGATTCCCCAAATTGAATGGGTTAAGTTGACTCAAAGAAGATGGCTTGTCCCAGAAAGGCAGTATACTAGCGAACCTAGGGTTCTTTTGTCAGATTCTTAATTATTCTTCCTCCTCTCACATACTTACACACATTGCATTTTCCCACACCCCGTCGGGTCCCGTACGGACCTGTCCGTCTCACTCTTCTCACCTTGGGTGGTTAGGTATTGCCGGGTGATTGTGCCTTTTGCTTTTTGCTTCTTCTTCTTGATAGGTTTCCTCATCGTTGATTGATGACGACGACGGTGACGATGGGAAGAGTCATGTCACAGCAAGAGTGAAGATTTGTTGTCTGTCCACTGGTGACTGAGTGCTTTGCACAAAACTGAGCTGCTATAGCGGTTAACATCGTCGCCTTATCGTCTGTTACAAGTTATTGACTACCCCCATCAGCCCTACTCCTAAGCTTCCATCGTCTGTCTTTGCTGCTTTTGAGTTGGTGTGAGCACGTGGGGGGCTACTTGGAGGAGAAAGGAAAATTGAAATGGCCTGGCCTGGTCTGGTCTGGTCGCCCGTCGATCATCCAGTGCCGGTTCTACCGTCCAAGTGGAGGGCAGGTCGTGCCAGGACAAGCCAGCAGGACCAGCACTATTGAATGTGATACGCTACCGGGATTGCAATCACGAGATTGAACTATTGTCTTGGGACGAGAACAAGATTTCGGTATGTCGCTACCTTGTCCAGATGGATGGAATTGGTAAGACCCTTGAATTCATGGGGTTATGTCCACTCCGCGGAGTACCATAGATAGAGTAAAGTATTCCCCGTTGAGCAAGCTAAGCTTAGCTGCTGGTAATCATCAAATCAAACAACAGGGATACTCAGTATAGTGTGTGAAGATGTGATGGTATTTAAATGTCTCTTTAACCCAGAACAAATGGAAAACTTGAAGAAATCTTTAATTCGTAAAGCGTGTTCGAGCACTTCGAACCCACGTAAACGCTGTAATTCCAAGAAAATGATATCCGCAAAAACCTGCGCTATGCCTGTCCTCGAGTCGTAAAAATCAAACAAAAGAAAGAAGTAGAATGGCCGCCCAACCGATTTGTCCCTTTGTTTTATAAGAATCCTTGTCTCCAAAATTCCCACATGGGCTGTGAGCACCGAAAAGTTGTACAGGGTAGAAGCGAATTAAGTTTGCGTCTGATCAACACCATGGTTGGCAATGAAAGCGGCTTTGAGTGAAGGGAGAGGCTTCACATGTGCTGCGAGCCCATGCCCGGGGAGCCAGGCATCGACAAGGGTGTCGTAGGGTACTCGTAGCTGCCCGAATCGGAGCAGCTCGCCGAGTGATCGTAAGGATGTTGCAGAGGAGGAGTCTATTGCCATCCATCATCAGCAACGATGTTCCCGCTTAAGGGTATGGTGATGAAGGTCGGAAGCAATGTAGCTTCGTACGGAGGAACTCACGTGAGGCATGTTGTCGTATGGTGAAGGAGCCCCGGTATTCATGTCGACACCCGAGAGATAACCATAGTTCATGTAAACATTATCCTCCGCCCCGGGGTAGCCCGGCTCACCCTTGATAGCGTCGCTGAAGTGTGTCATGGAGGGAAGCGTCACCGGTACTGGCGCAGTGGTGTAGTACTCGGGATAGGTTGCCTCTGTTGTCACCGCCCGGTAGGATTGCACGGGAGCGTACATCATCTCCTCGGGGGGAGGAGGGTAAGATGGGTAGGTGAACATGGGCGGCGAGTGCGAATGCGACCGGTCTCTCTCGTCGTACGTGCTGAAGGTGTACTCGTCTTCGGGATGCAGCGGGGGTGTGAACTGATTCCTGGTGGCCGGTGCTTGCTTCTGCTGCGAGACCGAGGCCTGTTTTTGGGGCTTTACAGTTTGTTGTTGTGTGCGTTTTGTGGTCTTGCTGGCTGGGCTAGTCTTTTCTGTTCCGGGTGACGAGGAATCATCTGATGTGCCGGCCCGCCTCTCGAGATCTTCCAGGCGCTTCTTGAGCTTCTTCCCTGTGATTCGAGTATTAGCATCTAACTGTTGCCAGGTATTGCAGGTCTTGTTGATCACATACTGTAATTGCGCTGGGCAATGCGGTTCTGGATTCTTCTGCGCTCAGCCAGATCCGAGATCTTTGTCCAATCCTCATCAGGGTTTGCCGAGCTGCTGAAGGCACTGCTTGTTCCGTGGCCGGAATACTGGCGGGGTGGCTGAGGCTGTTGCGCCTGGTAAGCGTAGTGGTGTTGTTGCATGGTGAACATGGTTGATGGGTAAGGTTCAAGCCCTCGACTCTGAAGATATACAGACATGTGGGTTGTATGATGTTGATGGTCTTGGTTGGAAAGGTAAGAGGCACTGTGGTGGGATAGCAACTCGAAGAGGGAATGAGGAGGAGGCTATCATGTTATATATCCAAATGGCCCAAGAAGAGAAGGAAGGGTGTGAAGAGAGAAGTGTACGGAGTTACAACAATATTGGTGTTACATCTTGTACCCATTCCAACACAGCCCCGTAGTAGACGGTACATTGGGTGCTTCTGGCAGTTCTGGTTCTCTCGAAGATCCGTCCACAAGGGTACCTCAGGGCTGGCACCCTTGACCCTGCAGCAGCCTTGGGCTGAGTGGTCTCTGCGGGTCTTGCAGAACGGTGCAGTAGGCTGGGCCAAGAGCCTGCATGAAGAGACACTGCAGTGGTTGGGACGGCCATGAATCCCTGAGTCCAGAGAACTCTGCAGCGCACCTCTTGGTACGCGATTGGACCCTGGCCGACCTCCAGATCATGAAGACCCGCGGGCTGGCGACGGTCGGAGACGGGGACGGAGTCAAGGTTCGGGGTCGGGCCCCCCCTCACTGTCTCTGTCCCCAATGTCCCCCCTCTCTGCCTTTCGAGGGCTAATTAACTGGTCCAATGTTATCAGGGCTGGGTGTACCAGATCGCCTGGGGCTCTTGACCCTTCTGCTCATGCCTCCGCGTCTTCCTCTTCTGCTGCCCAGGCCTCAAGACTGTGAGCGGCAGCATGTCTCGCAAGCCATGAAGCAACTATCATGTTGAAACCGACCATCTTTCGGTGTTGCGGGGACCTCGGTCATGGTGGTACAGTACATGAGGAGCCTTCAAGTCTCTCTCGTAGGTACTGTTGTATATGGTGTAGTAGTCTGTGAAGCAGGGCTTAGCTTGTAATTTACATCGGATTCCGGAAAGAAGGGTGAAATGGATATGAAATCCATGAACATAGCAACCGTACCACTGGGTTGTCACGCAAAGGGCGAGGGCGTCGTAAGGGGGGGGTGAATTGAATGAATGGAAGGCCTGTCCGATGTGAATCCCGCGTCAATCAAAAGGACTCGCTCGCTGGTGGATGGTTTTACGAGCAGCCATTGCAGGTGTGCTTGGGGTACAATGGTGGTGAGTGGGATTCGGATGTGACTTGTTGGAGATTGTAGAAAAGACAGAAGGGGAAATGGATAGCGACGACTCGACGAGGTCCGTGTATCCTTGCCGTGGATTGATGGGCAGACGGGGCCCGGTGCGGGCAGTGCGGACACCTGTGGGGTCAATGGGGTTCAGAGACGGTGACGCTAGGAAAGAACGGTGCGCTACCGTAGCGCTACGGTGCAAGCCGCTCTAACGGTTGGGTTTTAGTGGAGCATTTTCCAAACGGAGCTGATAGAAAAGAGTTTAGCCAAGTGGGTCTGTCTCCAGGCTGCCATATTTCGAGAAGATCCACAAGAAGCCTACCAGAGAATGTGGGCTAATTTTGGGACACCATATTAACCACCAAGCAAAAAGATATCGTGGCCTAATTTTGACATTTAACCCTGCTTACCCCTGTCAGACCTTGCATCTTGACACCCTCACGACGAGATATTTTGGGCAAAATGCGATGGGCTTGATGCATCTCATTTACAGATGGCTTTTGACTGGATATCAGTCCACTAGCGGTGAGGAGAAAGAGTCCGGAGCGTGCCAAACGAAGTCTTGGTTTCTTTTCTCATCGCTTTCGTCGCTTTCGACTCTTTGCGAGACGAAAACCAGGGAAAGGGTTCGGTCCCAAACAATGACAAAGTCGACAATCCCTGTCTGCCCAAGCTCATTCCCCGGATTTCTCACCCACCGTGAATTGCTTACTTCCTGGTTGTAGGCTGTACGTATCTCTGGGCAGGCGGCCGTAGGGCTGTAACAGCGGGAATGCCAGCAGGTCAGCAGCCGCCTTTGGACGAGTCACGGCTCGCCGTTAGATGGACCCAGGGTTAGCTGGGCTTGTCGTGCTGCCCAACTTTGCCAACTTTGGCAAAATCCACGCTAGCCCTACACGGTCGAGGAGAATAAAATCGACTGGTCAACAAATCTCAGGGGTCAACCACCTCCCCCTTCTCCACGAGTCCAGGGCTTGTCGAAATGATGGAGGACACCCAGCCTACGCCTTCGAATTGCTTTAAACCGCCGAGCACAGGCCGTGGGCCCAGAACACCACCACTGAAAAGTGAAAAAGTGGTCCTGGCACGCCTGGGTGGTGACCGAGATGAGCAGATCATGATAACCAATCTCTTCACATGATTATCAACTCCTGTTGGGGCACCCACTTGGCACTACACCACGGGTTTTGGCTTGTCCACTGTCCACAGTCTAACGGCTCCAGTCCCATGTAACTGTAGATCCAGTAATGTGTGGACAACTCAGAGTAGAGTTAGTAAACAATGCTGAGATGATGAGTCAAGACTGGAGAGAGAGGGACCGCGGAGGTAGGGTCGCATGTCCGGAACAAGGGCCTTGATGGGGTGCTCCTCAACTTCATAGGGGTCTTGATCTTGTCTTGGCAAGGTTAGCATTAGATCCTCTTTTTTCTTGATGGTTCTGCACCAACGACCGAAAGACACGGACCCATATTGAACTCTAGACCCCGAGCACGCCATTGTTGTGAAGATTCCGCACGGTCCAGAGTGGATTTTGGCATCCATTTGCCCCGGCCCCCCATTGTCCAATTCTCCATATCATTGACAAGTTCGAAGCTAGGGGTAATTAGTGACCGTCGTAAACAATACGGCACAGAGTTGGTTTGCATGCAACTGTAGCTCCTACAAAGGGCTTTCTTTTTGCGTTTCTGCAATTTGTAAAATTCCATTTGTTGCTGCTGAGCCATGCTGACGCCGCCTCGATGTAACGACTAATGTGTCGCTGGCTGTTGTGTTGTTTCCAACTCGGCACTCGTGAAAGTCTATGCCGGGGTCAGCGGAGTGTTCTCCGGAGGTGATCAAGCACTTCAGGCATTGAGTGCCTGCCTTCCTGCTGAGTCCGATTGACCAATGGCAAACATGAATTGGCTTATTTCACCTCATAAGACCACGTGCGGCAGTCAATACCTATAACTATCAGAATCAGCATACACTTCGATCATTATGTCCCAGGTGAATGTGGCTGTGCTCACCACATCAAGGGCACCATAAACTGAAAACAGCAGAATGTGAAAACAACGCCGGAAGAGCGAAGGCCGAGTTTTCCCCCGCGTCGGTCCTCAGTGTGCCGAGTTCGGACATGTGTCCGTCCCGACGAATAGGTGTCCACGTTGGGAACAAGTCACTGGAGCTTATTGGAAATTTTACCTTGTTTTCCCCAAGACTATGGCTCCGTCACAGCGCTAGAAGTCGCGATGGGACAGTTCTGATGCAAATGTTGATGTCGTCGAATGCCTTACCAGCGAAGGATCTGAGCTTGCAGCGTCTGTCCCTGTTGAAGGCTGGCAAGGATTGCTAGTCAACTATTGGAACGTGCTTTGCTAAGAAATTGCCAGAAATAAATATGTGTATTGGTATGTATTACCAATCTAGCTAAAGCTTTATGATTGGCCAGATGACGAGCCGCCTACCGGACGGTGTCAGTACCAGGATGTAATGGGCTAACGTACGGTCGTACCTTTCCCCTTGTTCCAATATCCGGTTTACGTTGGAAGTTTCGCCGTAACACCACAAACAGGAAAGCCAACAGTCCGAACGTGACAACGCCCGCCCAACCCAACTTCAACTCGGCGCGGCCGCCAGCGAGTACAAGCCCACCAGTCCGGTGCAAGGAAATTCGGCTGCCTGAAAAGTTCGAGGTTTGGGAAGCCCCCTCACCACGATACCAAACGACAACGGTTACGGCGACGCGCACCTGAGAATACCAGCTGTTGTACCGGGACAAAGCACAAAACCGACACTGAACAAGAAAGCCGCCAAATCTGCCTGGCATTGACGGGGTAGACCTTGGGGCAGTGGCAGTGCGTGTTGCCAATTTCATCACCCGGTGCCGTTGCATCACCACTCGTGTCCTGAGATCCAAGCCTGCAATCAGCCTGTCTGAGCCTGTGTAACCAGTAATCGCCCATACCAAGGCCTCTCAGGCCATTTGCTGTGTGTTTCGTTATTCACAGCCAACCGCCTGAAAACTATTGTGTCCAGTAACTGAATACCTTCAATCTCTAGGCCTCCAATAAGTCGATATTTCTGCCCCCGGCATGACCATGAAGGGAAGAAACTCGAGGATTACGACTTCAGCTATGCTTCGAGCTCGAGCCATTTCAAGCAGCTGCTCAAAGCCTGAAACTCAAACCACTGGCTCTTCGGACCGGCTTGACAAGCCATGTTGACGACAACTCGTCAATGTACCACCAGCTGCTTGTTAACACCAGGCGTTGGTGACTCTGACGACAGTGGCGCCCGAGGTACACTAAATCCACTACTATTGAGTCGTCTGTTGGTGATTGCTGTAAGGCCTTGACGTCTGCAGTTCGAAGATCTGGTGGAGACCTCGGAAGTAGGTTTCTCTCTTGCTCTCGCGGTGGGCCGACCCGCGTTCTAGGCACCAGGATACCCCTCGAAGGTGAAGCAGCAATATCTGTTGTCAAGTTGTCAACAAGATTTTACCGCGGCAATCCACCCATGGTCTCAAGGTCAAGGCTCTGAAAAGTCAAGATCATCCAGTCACGGCCTTCTAGGGGAGAAACTCCGGCGGGCTATCAAAATCTCAGCCGGGTTCGAGAGTGCTTGGAGCGCCAAGGAGTGTCACTGCTCCATGTTCCGGCCAGGAACAGCCCTCTGGTTCTATGGCCCCTTGGAACCAACCGCTCGGGGATCCCTCCTGGACCGAGTGCTGCTTGCCCTTTTGTCTCTGCAAGCTAGCGGCTGGGACGTTCTGGCCTCGGATGATGTCGATCAGGCTCCCGTTCTGGAAACAAGATTGCGGAAGACCTCAAAAAGCGGCATGAAATGCGGCTTGGGTGACTCCTATTCAGTGATCAAGATATCAACGCCGTTGGCACCCCTCCAAGTGTCGA